CATAAATAAAGCCCTTCAGTTTGACATTAAACTATCAGTAAGCTTTAACAAAAATAAACGTAATCAGTGTAGATTTTTGGAGTTTATAGAAGTTTGGTAATGCAAAAAAAGAATTATGGAATTTAATCACATATGGCATGACATTTATGAGCCTGTTTATATGGCTATTGAAGATTATGACATAGATAGCTTGATTGACGATATAGAAGTTAGTTAATAAAAATTCATCATTTCAAGATGAAAATTATATGGTTTACACCAGTGGCTGGTTGTTGAATATGATGAGATGATCGTAGATTTTTTTATTTTATCTCATGATGTTGAAGATGGTAATGATGACAAATCTATAAATTCTATGATTGAAAATTATTCGTATGGGTAATTACTTCAAGAATAAGTCAATTATTGTGCTAAGATTATGTAGTATTTGAAAATTTAGTTTAATATATCAAATAAATTCTTATGTCCAAGAATAAAAATAATTTAAAAATATGGATTTTTAATTGTAAATTCTCATAATTACGCGAATATTTCTTTTAACTACAAAAAATTATTTTTCAAAATTTTTAAAACATAGGTTAGTTTTCAAGATTTATAAATTTTTTAGAATATTAAACAAAAACTTCCTAATTTTTATTGCCATGATTTATATCTTTATTATTTTCCAAAAGTTCTTGCAGGACCACCAAACATTATAGTTCGTCCCCAATATTTATTTACAGAAAAATAATTTTGTCTCACATAATCCCATCCAATATCAGATATAACATGATCTACCACACCAATAATCGTCTGACTTTCGGTATCTACTACCGAAATATCACGAGCGTATGCATAAAGTTTTGGTTCGTCGTACTCAATTTGTAGTCCATTGCCCATTGAACTACTCTTCGAGTTTGATATTGTGAACAATTCACCACCCCAAAAACCATCGTATGGTCAAAAACCAATAATTGTTCTTTATCTCCCAAGTTTAACCATCAATTTCCGCTAAATAGATTCTTATAAAAAAACATAAGTTTAGAAAAAAGAAGTAACATTTTGATTACCATATGGTTTCATAAATTTATTGATTAGCAACTACTTTGATAGTTTAATTAACTTACTCGAAAAAAGATAAGGTAGAATCTAGCTTCGACCATATGGACTCCGGTCACTGAAACTTCTGAAAATGCATAATCAAGAGGAATATCGGTATTCACTATCACAAAACCGGGGCAGTTCGTGTTGAAACAGTGTTGCTCACGTGAGAGAAACTTAGTGATATAATTTAGAGAAAGTTACATAACCGAAAACAGAATATACAATTTAAGACGTCTTCGATTAATACAAATATTAGCGATTCATGCATTCAGCATACACACATATATATACAATAATAAACTAT